ATCTTGAAAGAATCGGAGAAATTGACTGATCAAGAGATCCATCCACCAACTATCATCGCTAAAGTCAGAATTGCCCCAGCAGTTGCTTGCGGAGCCCTCTACAACGTTACTGCTGACAGTTCAACTGATCTTTAACGTTTACATGAACATTTATTGAACATTGCTCGTTACCACCTTGAGCTACAAAATTATGTCATAACTCAACACCATTCCAGACAGTTGGTTGTAGATGCTGTACTGTATTTTAAAGGTTCTGGTAATTCATCAGCAATTCAAATCATTAAAAAGCGAGGCTGATTCACTTTTGGATAAAGATTTTTTTCTGTTTTAGAAACCAGGCATGCATCAACCTCAAAGTTCAAGGGCTTATTAACAAAACTTCCATGGATACTGATAAAATCAAAGTTTGTTATATTTATTAGTAGCTTATTGTAAGTATTTGTAGTGTTCGCTTGAGTTTATTTGTATTGTTTAATAAAATATTAAACTGTATCTTTTTTTGTTATTCCAGTTCAAGGGTAAGTACAGACTCGATAGCGATGCAAGATTGCTGAACTCAAAGTAGTGGAAAAAATTCTTGATCTTAATGTAATTTGTTATTTTCATTATTTGGTAAAGTGCAATTATAGAATAAGTACAAAATCTTATCAAATAATTCCATATTGATTTGGTATATATAAAATTATCAATAATATACAAAATATTTTTAAAGGATTTACTGTAATTTTAGAAATTAAATTTTTATTGAGAGTGATCATTATAACTAATACCTATCATAGTACGTACAAACTTCTATGCTATATTAAGAGGGGGTGGGGGTATAGTCCTGGCATTGAAATTTTTAAAAAAATTTTCATTGTTTTATTTGATTGCTTATACTTTCAAGAGTATTCTGTGAAAATTTCAGCCCAATCGGAGCAAAATTGACGAAAATATTGAACTTTTAGTTCGATGGCTATTATCTATCTAATATATAATGTGGTATCTTTGAATTGCGATTTCTCCAAATGACATTTTTCAAATCGGTGAGAAACATCACTGAAATAGTATACGACCGATCCTTTTGGAATTTTGCGCAGTTCTTTATTAATCCATTGAGCAGGTACTGACGTCGAGATATTTTAATTTTTCCGAAAATTTTTTCGTTTATAACAAATTTTCCGGAAAAAGAGTCGATTTTCAACTTCGCGTTCGTTCACGTTCAACTTCGAATAATTCATTGTTCCGCCAGTAAAGGCTTAGGATAACTCTCTAACAGGGCGTTAGTGGTGGTTTGTGTATATGGTCTATTTATTTTTTTATCATTTTATACAATCAGAACTCAATTTCTTGAATGAAACAAATTTTTTTGCAACTCCACGATTATAAAATTATAATAAATGAAGCATAGTAGTTTACAATTTGTGGAAAAAAATTGAAACATCAAATTTTATGAGAAAATGAAAAAATCAAAAGAAAGTTTTTAATTATTCATATTCATAACATGAATATTTTGTGAGAATAAAATTTATGATTACATTATTAATGCTATTTACATTTTATAGAAGCTTGCGACTTACTTGCAGTGAATTGGACATGAATCTACTTGCATTTTGAAAAGCAATACACAACCATGAACTCTTCTTCTTGTTATAGTTAATTCTTTACATTACTAATACTTCTAATCGAAAAATTTCATTCTAGAACAGTAGTTTTTGTTTCAAGTAACTTGAAATGCTGAATAACGAAAGAAAAAATCTACTTTTGAAAGAGTTGTATAAAAGATTATTTTGGCATTTTTATTTTCTAAAAATAAGCTTTTTATGGCCTTTTTGGACTGGCATAAAAAAACAAGGCATTCCGCTACTAACAATTATTTTAAATTTTATAGGAATCTTATCAGCAGTAAATAATCTGCACGCACCGAGTAGTTGTTTTTTGATTTATTCATAAATGTATAAAGGGAAAAATTTTTTTCAGGTGATGTTGATTATTATCGAATTAGATGGAGAAATGAATTTAAACAAAATTGTTGAATGTTTTTTTCAAATAATAATTCAGATATACATTATAGAAATGATTTATCTCGGGACACTTCATGAAAGAAATGTAGCCAGAGTAAAAATGGTTTTCTCGAATAATTGGATCATTACCTATATCTCCACTCCAATTTCACAGTATATTTTAATTTTTAGATTCGAACTACTTTTCAAAAAGTCGTAACAGATTGGGTAATCTCCTCAACAGAAGAAAAAATGTTTATCAAACAATACCTTGATACTGCAAATATTATCTCCTTAATAATAATCGGTGAGTAGTAAAATGTAAAATAATTATTTTTTTATACTTTCGTTGTATGTTTCAAGGATTTTCGGACTTCTGCTTCATTTTGTATGTTATGTTTCCTGTTCTAATCCCAGTACTAATAAATATGGTATTGGGGAAAAAATTGTATGAAAAAACATTGGTGCTTCAATTCATTATGTTTGTTGATGAAAAAGAACACTTCATTTACGTATTTATTTATACATTATTTCTCACAATCGTCAACCTATTGTTTTTTTCTGTGGTAGTTTATTTTCATATTATGAGTATTTATTATAATATTGGGAAATTGGAATACTTAAGGTATTAAATTATTTATCAAATTGATTTTTATCATTTTTGATTGATTTATTTAAACATTAGATTCAGGTTTCGAAAAATGTTGAGTTTTAAAGAAATAGAAAACTTCGTGAAAAATCATCAACTTAATTCTGTTAATAAAGGCATGGCTAACATTATTCAGCGGCATCAATATTGCCTTGAGTATATTTTACATTCTCACAAAAAAAGTGTATTTTTTATTATGGGGTAATTATCAAAACAATTTTTTTTCTTTGTTTTACAGCATAACAAAATCTATTCAGATCTCTGCCAATACTATGTATCTGTCGGGGATGGCATGTTTAATGCTTTGCTGTACTGCAGCTGGTAGCATGGTAAACTTTTTTTAAATGTCAGTAATATTAATTATGAAAATGAAAATTTAACATTAATACAGATGGTCATTTATTTCGAAAGCGAAAAGAATTTCGCTTTAATGATGTTAATTGCTTACTTGATGATAATGGAATTTACAGCCGGAGTTTGCGTCTTGTCTCAAAAATTATATGATTGTAACTTGAGTATCTATTACTTGTGGTACGAAGTAGAACAAGATTGATTTAAGAATTTAAAAACCATTTATACAGTTAATAATTATGTTTTTTTACGTAATTGTATAGTTACAATTGTGAATGGTATAGATTTTCTCCAAGGGCACGGAAAATGTTACAGTTTATGATGTTAAGATCCATGCAACCATTAGGAATAAGAATGGGACCATCTACTCCATTCAATTTTGAAACTTTTGGCAGTGTAGGTGCAATGCCCGTTAAAAAAAAATCGCTTGATTTCCAATTGGAAAATCTAGCAGGATTGGACTGGAAATCGAACTCGATTCGACTAGAAATCGAGCTGTATTTGACTAGAAATCTAGTTCGATTTTTTACTGGAAATCCAGCTCGATTTTCGATCTGAAATCCAGCTCGATTTTTAAACTGAAATCTAGCTTGATTTTTGACTAGAAATTTGGACTGGAAATCGATCGATTTCAGATCAAAAATCAAACTAGATTTCAGGCCAAAATTCGAGCTAGATTTTCAAAACTCGAGCTAGATTTCAGATCGAAAATCGAGCTGGATTTCCAGTCAAAAATCGAGCTAGATTTCCAGTCAAATACAGCTCGATTTCTAGTTAAATCGAGTTCGATTTCCAGTCATATCCTGCTCGATTTTTCAACTGGAAATCCAGCGATTTTTTTTAAACAGGGTGGGCATCATCAATTTTGTCCGATTTAATTTTATCTATTCTGAAAATTTATTTTTAATTCTTGTAGATGGTGCGATTGTCTGCGTCTTATCATACCGCATTAATATCGATCCTTTCTTTAAATTCATGATCAATTTTGCGTATAATGGCAGTTTTTGATTAGGCAAATTTATTTGTCTCGTGAATAAAAAAACCACTGCCAATTTATTGGCAAAGAGCTCCGTCATAAAAAAATAATATTAATGAAAGAGTTTGGTTATTAAAGAGAAAATTCGTATTTTATTTTTGACTTTTGAACTCCGTTTTTATTTTAGTATACGAAACTCCAAAAAAACGTACACTTCTATCTTAGCCAAAAGGCCGAAAAGACAAACACACATACAGACATTTGTTGGTAATTCAATGTAGTTTCCAAATATGTAAACTAAATTGTCCTACGAGGTCTGCTTCCAAATCTTATTTTCAAACCTATCACATACTTCCTTCATGAGGAAGCAAAACCCAATAACTTTAAATAAACTCTCAATATTGAAAAAAATGCGCGCTTGAGCTTTTCTTTTGCATTTTTAACGACGATTTTCTAACCTATAACTCACCTATAGGTGAGGGAGTGAGAGAGAGAGAGTGAGAGAGAGAGAGTGAGAGAGAGAGAGAGTGAGAGAGAGAGAGAGAGAGTGGGACACCAGTGGGACAGCATAATACATACATGTATAAAACCTGCGAAGGTGCGCTTGCGCGGGTGTGTTTCCGCGGAGGCCGATGCACCTGCATCTGCACCTGTGCTGTCACCGCCGCCGCCACCGCCGCGTGAACTAGCCCTTCTCTGCCCCTCTCCCCTTCCCCACTTCCCTATGATTTTACGTGTGTGTCTGTGTGTTATACCTGCCCAAGTGTATATAGACTCGCTCCCGCTTATACACCGTGAAAAAGGCATGGTGTTGCACTGCTGCAGTTGCTGATGCATATTCATGAGCACATTTGCGTATATAACTTTTTTTTTTTTTTTATATTATAGTGCTTTTACCAGCTGGGGCATCCGCACTTACTTTATTTCAAAAACATTAAATATTTATAAGTTATAAAAAGAAAAACAAAATTAATTACAAAATAGTATCGATAGAATGTTCATTGAGACTTGGTCTTGGGTCTTCGACATCTTACTGCTATCATCAGACTAGCACTCCCAGCCCGATGAAGAAGTCGCATAACATTGTGCAAGCCTCAATATTTGGACGAGCGATCAAGCGCTCCACCTTCAGCGGAGAGAAGAGCCCGATCCTCTTCAGTCTCCCAAGCAGCACCTTCCTCTGCGTTTGGTACAATCTGCAGTCCCATAGAATGTGGTTCAAAGTTTCCTTGTCGCAACCACACCTGCAGCCCGCGTCCGAGATGATGTTCTTTCTCTCTAGCGACTCTGCTAGGCAGGTGTGGTTGGCACGCATCTTGTTGATCATGACAATGTGCCGCCGAGGTATTTTCACGTTGGAGAACCAGGGTGTAGAGTGAGTGCTGTAAAACTCCTCGAAATATTGCTTCCCCTTTTCCCGACTCTCATCCATGTTCTTGATGTTGCTGTTATTCTTTGCTTCGAGCGCAAAGCTCTCCGACAGGTCAGAAGAAGGGATAAAAGCCGGGTCTGGGGGTTGGTTTTTCGTAGCTTCCTTGGCTACTGCGTCCACCACTTCATTGCCCACGATGCCTATGTGTGATGGAATCCACAGCAGGCTCACTTTTTTGTCTAGGTTGTTATTTGCGTAGCTGGCTAGTCGTTCTTTTATATCCAGGATTAGTGCAGATATTTTTCTGCCTGCGCCTGGTGATTGGATGCTGATTATGGCGCTGAGAGAGTCCGACACGATTACAAATTTTTTATTGTCCAGGCTCTCGATGTAGGTAAGGGCCTCTTTAATTGCGCAGCACTCAGCAGTGAAAATTGAGCATTGTGGGCTCAAGCTGCCAGCACTTCGGTATCCTGTTGCCGGGCAGAAAATCCCGTATCCAACACTTGCGGCTCCTTTGATCTTACTGCCGTCAGTGTAAACGGGCAGCGTCTGCTCCGCCTCCAGGCGTTCACACAACGCGTGGTCTGGATCCGGCGAGTTCTTAATGTGGTGTCCGAGAGTCACATTTGTTTCGGCTGTGAAGGTCAGGGTATGGTAGCTGTGGTTGTACGGATTAAATCGTCCTCTNGCCCAAATATCTTTACACATTCATCTTCAGAGTAATTCGAAGAGAAAAAAGTTTTTAAAAATTGTTCTAGTTCATAAGTATTATTTTGAAAAATCAGTTAATATTAATTAAAATAAAGTTAAAGTACTCTTGAAAATTCCTTAGGTTGACATAATACAAAGAATAATTTTTTTTTAATTGGTTTAACATTTTTATTTTTGATAATAATCATAAACATTGAACTAAAATAAATAGAAATAAACATGAAACATAATATAAATTTATAAAACAAATTCATTTCTATGTTTGCCACTATTTGCAAATCGATCAATGACATTATCTACACTAATTGCTATATTCCAGTGAATGTTCATCAATGCCAAGCCATCTAGACGATCTTCAGTCATTGATGATCTTAGCCATGTTTTGATTCTTCGCAAAGAAGAAAAGCTTCTCTCTGCGCTGCAGGAGCTTATTGGCAATGAGAGAAAAATTTTAAAAAGAGTTGTAATCACTGGAAAAAACACCTCATCGCAAGAATCGAGAATCTGCAGTGCATCGCAGTTCTCGAGTTTGTACTTTTTGCAATGTAACTCATACAATTCCATTTCATTGCACAACTTTCCATGTAAAACATTTTCTGATTCACCAAAGATTGATGCATATTTGGTGACCAAGCGGTTCAAAGCATTTTTATATTCATGATTATCCACTTTACTTTCACCGGGAAACAAAATATAAAAATCAAATAATTGTAATGTTTCCTCGGGAAAACGAATTTTTAAGTCGGCAATTATATTGTCTAATAGACGAATGAAAATTGTGACTCGATAATAATCTTCTACAGATTTGCACGAGTGATTTTCTCGATTTTTTTGTTTACCAGCAAGACGAGGCACTTTTAATTCTACATCGAGTTCTTCCGCAGTAGATCTATCCTCCTCGAATAAATTTGCAAAATATTCTTCAGATTTTTCTCGTTTATTTGATAAAATTGTTATTGTATCAACTAAAAATTCTTGTGCAGATTTCATATCAATCCGAGTTTTTTGAAAATTACGCGTTGTAGATTGCCGCCATACAGCCGAAGAAACATCTGTTCGGAAGTCGCCGTCCCTCGCGCGCTGCGTAGAACTCTTCAATCTTCCGAGTCACTTCAAAATTACTATTGCTAAAGGCTTTAGCGATATATGCTTTGCCGAGCATTTTGGCTCTCTCTTCAAAGGAAGACACCTTGGCCTCGGCGAGCAGAATGTTTGTAGGCGTACTCGTACGGTAGCCAAGGGCACATCTGATCGCCGCAAACTGAATTCTTTCCAACTTTAGCTTGTCCTGCTTGTTCGTTGGTAGGTAGATGAAGCTACCATAATCTAAGATGGAACGGATGTAGCTCTTATAGAGGATCAGCAGCGTGTCCGGGTGTGATCCCCAGTATGTGCCACACAAAAATTTCATGATGTTCATTGCTGAGGTGCATTTTTTCTTTACGTAGCTGATGTGCTCTTTGAATGACAGCTTGTAATCGAAGATCACGCCGAGAAACTTAGTGTGGCTGCTGGAAGAGACCACGTGCTCCCGGATTTTGATCCTCTGGCTTCCCGGCTGAATGTTTCTGTCGTTGAAGTGTATTAGCTTGGTTGTGTATGGCGATATGCCTAGTCCAATGCTGTCCAATTTTTCTCCAAGAATCTCTATTGCGCTCTCCAGAGCGACAACTCCCTCCGCGGGGTCGGCGGCCTCCACGGTGACCGAGACGTCGTCCGCAAACTGAGATGTGCAAACGCCAGGTGGTAATCCGTCAGTCAGTGAGGCAACATACAGCGAGTACAGTAAAGGACTGAGTACTGCGCCTTGAGGTACACCCTTGCATAAGCGCCTGGAAGTCGCGGCTCCCTCCGTGAAGATGAGGCGCTCGCGAGTGACAAATTGTACGAATTTGACTATCCTTCTTGTGCAGCCCAGCGATGCCAGCCTTTCCAGCAGTATATCGACGTTCACGTTGTCGAATGCACCTTCGACGTCCAGGAACGCCGTAAGCACATCTCTTGACCCGCGAAAAGCGTTCTCCACCATCAGGAAGAGGCCAGTCATGTTATCTACACACGAGTGGCCCCGCCTGAAGCCGTGTTGATCTTTAGGTATCCAATCGTTCACCTCTGCCCACCACTGTAGTCGATTCTTCATCATGGTTTCAAAGAGCTTGCAGAAGCATGATGTCAGCGAAACGGGTCGCAGACCTTGTTCTCCAGGTTTTGGTATGAGGAACACAAACACCTCCTTCCATGCCTCAGGGTACATCTCTAGCGTATACATTTCGTTAAATATGTCGAGAAGAATCAGCTTGAGCTTTATCGGGAGCTTCTTGATGGTGTCGAAGCCCGTTCCGTCTAGTCCAGGGGCTGATTTCTCGTTTTTGTCCTCCAGAGCTATATTCAGCTCTGAGAATGAGAAATGCTCGTCTAAAAATACGTTTTCCGTGCATGATGGCGTATATCCAGGATCGGTCTCTACCCATGGAGGACACAGCTTGCCGATGGCTGCCTGGCGAAGTCTTTCCCTGCTGCTGCCGACGTACATGTGGCTCCGGTCAACGTCAATCCATTTGTTTTTAAAAATCTTGCATTTTTTCCACACGTATGATGATCCAGTGCGAAAGTTTAAGCTCTCTGCGAATGACGCAAAGCTTTCTTTTTTTTTGCATCTCAGCATCCTTTTCATTTCTGCACATCGCTTCTTGTAGTTGATCAGATCAGCCAGCTCGAGGGAAAACTTGAATTTTTTGAGCGCAGCCAGTCTCAGCCTTTTTGCGCGATCGCAATCTGCGTCCCACCAAGGGACGGGATTGATATGCCTGCGCTTGGTTACATTCTTTTTGCGTGGCGTACATGTAGATATGTGGCGCCTTCGGCGAGCCCTCGCATCACTCGGCGCTCGAGGCGACGAGAGGGGTTACCCCCGCTCTGAGGAGAAGAGTAAACCGAGAAGAACGCACACACAGCCTCACGTGTGGCGAATGTCTCGCCGGATATTCGGTAACTAGTTAAAATAAACCCGTTGTTAATCTAACCGCCTGTCTTCTTTTGTCGCTTACACCCGTACACCCGCGAAGGATCTGGCAAGAAGTTGAAAGTTTAAGAGCTACCCAAGGAACTTCACAGATATAGCTTCTGTAATAAGGTCGTAGAAAAATTTAAATTTTGCTGCTGGGTTCAAGCTCACAAAGGTCTCTGAGAAGAAGTCGGTGTAGCGCGCTTCCCACAGCTCGTAGACCCTGTCCCACTCAGTGCGTGTAGAGTTGATTCTGTGCCTGCGCTGCAGATGCTTGTGTTTTCCCACAGACACAGTGGTGATTACCGGGTAATGGTCCGAGCCCCATGAGTCCTCACAGACCTCCGTGTTGATCAGTTGATCAATGTCCGGAGTAGAGAACACGAGATCGATGTTAGAACCGTAGTTCCTTCGTAAATTTGCATACGTAATCGTGTCGAAGTTATGCAGAACCAAGCCATGCGTCGTATATGCCTGCTGCAGATACCGGCTGTTGTCATCAGTGCGCGTTGAAATCTCCCATCAGAAGTGTAGCACGATTCCTATCTACGCATTGCACTACCTCGTCCCACCCCTCCTGGGGCATTGTGCCATAGGGAGGTCTGTAGCAGATTATAAGGTCCATTGACGGTCTGCAGTTGTTGAGACGAAGCCCGCAGGTCTCGACCCTTTTGTTACGAAGGCTGAAGCGAATCTCACTAAAGTCGATATCCTCACGCACCCAAACTACTATCCCTCCTGCTCTCGAGTCTCGATTCTTTCTAACGGCACGGAAGTTGGGAATACTTAATTGATGCTTCGAAGTTAGCCATGATTCCACACACACAATGATGTCAAATTCCGGGGCCGCTTTTCTTACTTCTGAGAATTTGTGAAAGATGCTTCTGGCGTTCCAGAAGACTATTTTGAGCTTTGGAGGAGTGAATTTTGTTTTTAGTTTGTGGTATGGCATTGCAGTTACACTTTATTGTTCGAGTATCGATCTGTTGTTTTCCTTGTCGACCTCATCTTGATCGGCGAGCTTTTTGATGATTCTATGGATCCTTTATTTTAGATTGTTACAGGTAATTAGCTGTTTAGTGATACACAGCATCGCTGAGAGAGCCTCAGTGTCTGTGGTGAAGTTCTTGACGATTGTATAGACGTTGCTAGCCCCATAAGTCTGATGTAGCATCGCCGATAGTGAGTTGAAATTGAGAGGGTACAGAGATATATTCGCTTCTAAGTAATTTCTTGCTGGTTCTAAATTTTCTTTTACTTCCTGTAACGACGGTTGTTGCTCTACTTGTTTGGAGCGCTTAGCGGTGGGTTCTAATGTTTGTTTGGGCGAGAACACCGGAAAAATTTTGCGAGTTTGGTCCCTTTGCAGAGGAGGCTTTACCTTGGTAGGTGAAGGCGACGATAGCTGTCTCTTCATCGTCGTTGAAGCAAGGAGAGATTTGCTCATGAGTGCCTGAGAGTTGTCCTCCGTGGCCTCGGTTGTTGAAGCTTAAGCTGTAGTTTTCGCCACCACCTCAGTTTGTAGGGGCAGAGACTTTGCTGCTGCCGCGATATCCTCTGTAACGTGTTCGACTTCATCCGACTTGTTCGTCCTAAGGGGTGACTCTTCGGTGTTTCTGCAGTATTTCGCAATGTGTCCCTCTTCTTTGCATAAAAAGCAGGTAAGCTTCTTAGTCGTGAAATACAGCGTGTACGTCATTCCGTCATGCTCGATTTCTAATTTGGGGGGTATCTTTTCTATATCGTTGGCTTTAACGTACACCTGCCTTCTGAAACTAAATACATTTTCGTATCCTCGATTTTTCAGGCCCGAGTGCACAAAAGTGATCTGTGAGACAGGTTGAACTTGCAGTTTGTTCAGTTCCTGTATTATTTCCTCTTGCGTGATGGTTGGACAAACGTTAGATATAAGCATGCGCTTGGAGTGGTTCACTAAGGGGCGAATGGTTAGCTTGTGACCCTCTACTTCAATAGTTCGGTCCGTAAGCTCTTG